ACGCCAAGTTTTTAATATCTGATGTACATGTTGAGGTCATTAATTCTTGTTTAATAAAGATAATTTTGGGATATGCAAATATGTGACGTATAAGACTAAAATATTTGAATGTTTAATTTTAGTTTGAAAATTATTCTATAAAAATAAAAGTAAAATTTGTGCTGTCTTTTTTACTCTTTTTATTGAATTTTAGGAATGAATGAATTCGGTTTTTTTTTGAATGGATGAATCCTCTAATATTGACATTTCAAATTCCAACCTATTTAAACCAAAAAATGAATATTTCTGAATGAATGTTTTCAAAAAATGAATTCCAGAAGCAGTATATCATATAAAGTTTTGACCATCAACTTTGTCCACTGCTAATGATGATTTAAATAGCATAGATGAGATCGATCGCAATTGCGTACTGGCCGAAAAATAAATATATTCCTAATAATTATTTATATCTACGTGTTTGACATAAATCTTTTCAATTAATAATCTTCACAGTTTTGCAAGTCTTCACGGCATTCATCCTTCGATATTAAATATCGCTTATTAAATCCCTTATTGGATATTATAACCGACTTATATCTTCTTAATTATTTTTTTTTCAGTTATTTAAATAATTGGAATGTTTTGTGAATTACTCTCAGTGTAATAGCCATTGATAAACAACATAATGCATTTGTGCTAATCACATCAGTACTTATCAAATACACACTTACCTATGGCATGCATTGGATCCGAACGAGTCTGATAATTTTCATTTGAAGTAGTCCCGGATATACCTTGTCAATTTAGATTAAATTAACTGATTTTAGGTTAGTTTTTTTTTTTTTTTAAGGGACTTTTCCTACTTTGTCTTTGTTCTCCATGTAAATTTCTTGAGTTCCATTCAATGCGTGGTAACTATTGTTTCGAGAATCTTTTGTCGCCGATATCTCCGAAGTCTATAATTTAGAAATCAAAAGAAATGCCTTTCACTGTTGTCTCTTCACAGGCTAGGCCATTAACAGTTCATTTTAAGTTGGCCATGAATATTTAATTAACTCCCTAACTAACTTTCTCGATTCACATTGTAAGAGAAGTGACCAAATATCTTCAAAAGTGACAAGTTGATTATTGAGACCATTTCTGCCAGTTCTCGAAACAGCCTTTCACGAATTTGAATAGTATAAGCTACTGCAGTTTGAGAACAGCAAAAAAAAAAAAAGCTGACAGGTAGTAGTTTATTTCGGTTTTGATTAGTTGATGAATTGTCATGAAAAAAATGTCACCTGTTTTTGAGAAGAAGTCTAAGTCTAAAGTAGTCTTGAATATACCTTGTCAGTTTTGATTAAATTAACTGATTTATTTTCGGTAGTTTTTTTAGATACTTTTCCTATTTTGTCGTTGTTTTCCGTGTGAATTTCCTCAATTCTATTCAATGCATGGTACCACCAATCGTTATGAGGATCTTCTGTCACCGATGTCTCCGAAGTCTTACTCATGGCATATTAACTCGCATGCTGTATTAAAGTCTGCTTTGACAAACTAGGCCATTTAAAGGATTGAGTTTTTCACTTGTTTTTAACTTTCCATCTCTATTTATAATCTGTCATACATGATTAACTGATTGGTGCATTGGTGAATCCATGGGCTGTAATTTACATATCTGATGCATTTCACGATTTAATCATGAAAAAATGACGTCAAATAAAATCAGCGGTTCAGATCCGGAAGGTAAAATATGATTGATTCGATATTTCCAAAATAGCAAAAATGTATTCCATCTGATTATTAAAATGGGACAATGCAGTGATAACTTTATTTGACCGAAAAGATAATTGGATGAATGTGAAAATTCGTCAAATTTCAACTTACAGGAAAAGTGGAAAATGTTTAGCCAAATAATACAAAAATTAATGTTATTATTATGCAATTAATAAAATTTTAAATAATAATTTGTTATAGTTATTTTATTAAACACTTGATAGTTTGCTCATTTATGTTAAACAAATTTTTCAAATGGAAAATTAATCATCAAATGAAAATTAATTAGATGAAAATAATAACCAAACGAAAATTAATTATCCAATATTTTTTGCATATCCCAAATTTATCCATATTAAATTAAAATTTAAACAATTGTTAGCAAAAAGTATCAAATGTTAATTAACATTTTTAATGCAACAATTATCTTCACAAATCACATTAAATCAATGATTATAGTAGTGGGAATGCTCCCATTGTAGCAATATGACACATATTACCTTTATTTCGTGCCACATAACCATATCCTTTCATTCCCCAATCTTTTCCCCAACTGAAAATTATTTATTTAAAAAAAAATAATTTAAATTAATATTAATACTAATTTAAATTAATACACTAATAATGGTTATTTAATTTAAAAAAAAAATTTCACACAAATTATAACAGAAATGTCTTATCGTTTGTTAACATTTTATCTGAAATGATGAATAAAATCCTTTAGATGAATTGAAACAAACCTATTTTTAATAATCCAATAATCTCCTCGTTTTTTACTCGTACCATATCCGACAATCAATACTGCATGACTTGGTTCAATACATTGATTATCAGCGTAGACACCTAAAAATTATATGATCAAATGGTTGATTACCGGAATCTTTTTTGGTCCACCATCTATAACCATACGATCATACCATATGGTACTGATATTCGATGATTGGTAATTTTTCACTCATATATTCACTAATTACTTTGAACTAAATTACAATCGAAATATTATAACCTTACCGGACTTATAAAATTTGAAACTTGGTAGATCGCCAGTCATTCCAACAGCAACAGGTCCACGTTTAGCTACAGCATGCTTCAGTGCTTCTTCATCGCCATCCATTATTCTAATGGAACCTTTATCAGTAGCTTGAACGTTTTGCTTGTTCCATTTACATTGGTTACTTACAACACCAACATATGGATATTTCGATTCTGATACAAAACCATACGATCTTCCATATTCGTATACCTAAAAAAATTTTAAAAAAATTTTTAAAATAAAAATAATAAAAAGTTTTTAAAATAAAAATTTTCAATGTTCATTTCTCCACATTTTATCATGGATAGATTAATATATTAATTTGACCATTATAAAAGAAAAACTTGCTTCTACTGGTAAAAGCCTGCTATGATGAAATTTCGGCATTTGGTTAACAAATATTAGTTTATTCGTTTAAAATTATTGCTTGTTTTCGATACAACCTTTTGGTGACAGTTTTTTTTTTTCAATACGACCTTTGGATCGTATTTTTTCGATACGACCTTTGGATCGTATTTTTTCGATACCTTTGGATCGTATTTTTTGATACGACCTTTGGATCGTATTTTTTCGATATGACCTTTGGATCGTATTTTTTCGATATGACCTTTGGATCGTATTTTTTCGATATGACCTTTGGATCGTATTTTTTCGATACCTTTGGGTCGTATCCCAAAATAAGCAATAATTTTAAACAAATAAAATGGAATAATAGTAAGAAAAAACAAATAAACAATAATTTTTTAGCAGATTCACAAAAAAGGATTAGGAAATAACCGGAGTAATACGGCCACCATCACAACCACTGTTACCAAGATACCATGTACAATCAATGACATTTTGTGGGGATAAGATGACAGTTTTTTTAGTCTTCTTCCTATAATGAGCTTCAAGTCCGGCAAGTGAAGCAAAAGCATAGCAACTACCGCACAATCCCTATAAAATTATTTTTATTTTTCATCTCAAAATCTTTAATTATTATATTAATCTACTAATTATGATAATACAGATGTCAATTATAATATTCAATGCAAGCAATTGCAATGTGGTGACATCATTGTATTGCATACATCTCAGCTAAAACACTCCCAAATACAATGTGCTATGATCAACAATGATTCATTTGGCATACTTGCTTTTTGCAGTTATAATCAACCGGTAAGAACCTTTATGAAGATTTTGAATTTGAATTATGAATGAATTTGATTTTGAATTTGAAAAATGAATTTTTGAATTAGGGCACTTTACTAATTGGAAATAATTTAGCATAAATTTAAGAAGATGAAGTTACGTGGAAGTCATACTTGTTCTCGAACAGGTGTAAGGTAGCCTTTTTTTCTCCAATCAACTGAACGTGGCAACTTTTCCTTCTTGTTGTACTGATAATATCCAGCCGGAATCTGGTTGGTTTGTCTTCTTCCACGTGTATAGGTTTGATTGGACGATAGAAGTCCATTCAATTTTTTGAATTCATCATCGGTCTAGAAATGAACCAAAATAAATTAATTTCCGGCAAAACAATCCGGATTATTGGTGGATGTATTGCTTTAAGAGATTTTATTCACTTGTTTTATTGAAATATATATTCGTATACCATTAGGCTTCACTTACTAAATCAGCCAATTTATTCAAGCCTGTTCGATAAGAAACTAGGCCCTTTTTATATTGCTTGTTTATCTTCTCCGTCAACAATTCATTGCTTTCAAATATTGCCATTCTTAATTTTGTTTCATTCGAACTATAATGTCTTCCTGTAAATCCCACAAATTATTTTACTGTTATGAATGAAATTTTCGGTTTCACAAATGGAAATTTGAAATTGAAAAGGAAAGTAGCACAGAGTAAAGTTACATTCCTGAAACGGTCAAGTATAAATGACAAAAATTTGTACCGTTAACGGTTAGATATTTGTTAAATTTGGTTTCTAATTTTCGCATCGCCTGCAGTTCCCCTTGATCTTCCATTTTTTTCAAAAAACCTTGCACAGCAGTTGATTGCCTGTTAAAAATTGCAGTATATTTTTGAGTGAAAACCGTTTGTAGCAATTTATAAGTAAAAAACTTAAAACAATTTCTTATCTTATATTTAAAAATTAAAAAAAAGAATCAATTATAGAAATAATTTAAATTCAAATAAAAGCGGCTAAGAATTATTTTCTTGTACCAGTGAAATAATGATACTTAAATATATGAATTCATCCAACAGATTTCTCATACTTCTAAATTCCGAAAACTTTTTGGATTTCAACAAAAAAAAAAATGTTTAATTCATTTTTAAAATCATCTCAAAATAATTGTACAAAATAATAAATTAAGCTTACGCTATTAGTTGTACTGATTGTGATAGGTCTAAATTGCTGAATTTATTTCTCTATTTTATGTAAAAGATTACTTATATCTTGCAGTTAACCTCTATTAAACATCCGTAAATCTTCTTAAAATAGTTTTAAGTAAGTTACGGTAAGATAGATCGCAGTAATCTGTTTCCATAATTTTGTGATATTAAAAGAAAATGGTATTCATGAATCGAAGTATTCATTATTGTTCTTTAATCAAATTAATTGAATATTCAAATTTTATACTTTTCATACTTCCATAACCTAAAATTTTTTATGTATGGCTGTTTTGGTGTGCTCATAAAAAAAGTGTGGAAAAAGGGAAATGCAAATAGAAACAAAGTTATTCCTAAATTATATTATTATACGCTTCAGATGCTTTATCCGATCGATGCAAATGGAATATGACAGTATGAATCAAATGATCCTCAATGAAGTACTGTTGAACTCACCCTTCTGATCCTGAAAATACGGTAATTCGTCAATTTCTAAGTTTATCTTTTGTATAATAAATTCGGATAAAAAGTGTTTTTAATTAATAGCAATTCCATACATTACAAAATTTGAAATTTGAAATAAAATAAAAAATAAAAAAAAGGAACCATCGCCGTATTCTTTCAATGCATTTTTAAAATCAGATTTAAGTTTTCTCACATCGCCTGCTTTGTAATCTTCATCAAGTTTCTCTAAGACTTCTTTCAGTTGTTGCACTTCGCTGAAAATTGTTTTATTCGCAGCTTATCAAAGTGTTGATTTTTCTTTTGTGTTATAATTAAATTAATCCCGAACTATCGGTTCTTTTGGTGATCTCTTAATGTCATCATACATGCAGGTAGTGCCACCTGCATTTTATGCATGCATTTTGTTTGTGGAATGTGCAAAACTATGTGAAATGTATGGATGTGTTTTAGTTGATTTCTTACGAATAAATAATAACAAATTCCGCAAATTATATTTCTCAATATTATAAGCCAAAGTAAGAAATGGCCAAATTTTAGCCAAAATAACTGTAGCATCCGAGAAAAATTGTCCAATTTCATAAGAAATTGTTATCATTAGCAATGGATAAAGGAAGCTACTGAAAATTCACCTGCTAAGTGCGATAACAAAATCGGCCAAGAAGGTAAATACCGCCAGTGATGCAATTGTCCGTAGCATCACGTCGTTTGCGTTTTTCCGAATACTGCAGGACCGTTATTCGTTCTCCTTAAATGGTGACAGAAGTTTGTTGATACAGCTTAATCGTTAACTAAATTCAATGCTCCTGCTGAGGATTTTATTTGAAATTTGAATTTGGTTTTGATAAATTGTGTTTGTTCAGTGGAACGTACTAAAGGTCGACTGTAAAAACAATCAAATAATACTGAAGAAAACGATGACGCGATTGAAAATTTTATTAAAAATATATATATAAAAATTCTGGCGTTGAAAAAATTGAAAAATAAAAATTCATCGGATTACAGGAAAAAGGAGGAAATACTCAAATTAATTAAACTCAAAAAATTTTCAACCAAGGAATTAATTTCTTCCATAACCAATTTGAATAGTAAAATTGGCTGATATGAATTGATAATGATAATTGATTAGCATCTTTTACCTATTTTTGTAAAAATTTCTTTTGGAAATATCTCCAAACCTTTTTTTGTTAAAATAATTTAAAAAAATTCTGTTTAAAATTTAAATTAGTATAATAGATCTTTCAAGGATAAAGTAAGTTATATGAAATATAACAGTTTGTTACTTTTTTCCTTACAATTTAATAGAATGCAAAATTTACTTACTTTATTTTCCCAAATTGTTTTAAACTTTTATTTTGGTATCAGTAAATTATAACTGTATGATTAATAATTAATAAAATGTGCACACCTTTACGTTCCCAGTAGTAATTTAATCATATTTGCATAAGTGTGAGTCATCAATTTACTTTAATTACATCTTTTTTCCAGGTAAACTTATTAGTCATCATATGCAATTGATCATGGTAATGTAGTAAAATGAGCAATATTTGCTTTTATTTTAGCAAAAATATGAAATTATTTGGATGGTTGCAATTATTTTTTCACATTTAAATTGCTTTCATCGTTTTTTTGATATCGTTTTCTTCAAATACATTATGAAAAAATGAACAGATGTTAAAGTAACTTAAAGTAACTTGTTAAAGTAACTTACCTTAACTTTCTCACCTTACCCTAAACTAAAATGACGGTCATTTAAAAAGTATGCATAAAATTAATGTTCTAAAGGATAACTCTATTAATAATTAAGCATTTCTCACTGTCATTTGTTACAGTAACTTACCTTAACTTTCTTACCTTACCCTAAACTAAAATGACGGTCATTTAAAAAGTATGTATAAAATTAATGTTCTAAAGGATAACTCGATTAATAATTAAGCATTTCTCATTGTTTCATTTGTTTCTTTGTTTTTTTTTCATAATTTCTAAATTAATTTACAATATTTCCTTCTCATACCTTTAATATTTTCATGATAATTTCGATTATAATAGATTTTCTCTTTGAAATTCCATCCAATATACCAGTTGCTTTATTATACTTTCAACAATCAGTAACCTTAGAATAATTATTTTTACCTCACAAATCAGATATTACCTTATTCGCCACCTGCTAAAGCTAATCCTCAGTTTCTTTTTTTTTTTCCACACATTTATTTTGATAGATTTTAAGATTGCAAAGAGTGTGCTCACAATTATCTTAAGTAATAAGAAGATATATGCCACATTAATTTGCTATTATTATCGAAATATTCTCGTTCCTTTAATATTCTCTAAATTGTTGTAAGAAAGAAAGAAAGAGTAAGGTCAAATGATTAATGATGGTCCCTGTTTCCTTTTTTTTTCTCTTACTCTTATATTTTTTTTTCTCCCTCCATTTTTAAAGGTAATAATCATTTAGGGATAGGTATGTACCGCATTATCCATAGGATGATTAATTCATTTCTTAAGTGCATCTGTTGACTTTTGAAATCGGTCATCTGAAATGCAAATTAACCGAAATAACCAAATTATCCATGAAAATTGTTCACCTTTTGTTTTAGATTAAGCCCGTTGAAATCATTGACATTGATATTGAATCTTTCCCCTTTTTTATCCTTTCATTTATCGAATATTAATGGTATAAATTATTATGAAATGCATTACAGGTTAATATATTTTTTGTGGGTAAGAATTGACAATCATATGAAAGGAATTGCTTTGGATACGTGTGATACGTGATTTTTTTCTAATACGTCAGTTTAATACGTGATTTTTTCTAACATGCCAGTTTAATACGTGATTTTTTTCTAACATAACAGTTTGCTACGTGATTTTTTCCAACACGTATCCATTTTTAGCACATCATTTAAGTTAGTTTAATACGTGATTTTTTTCTAACATGTCAGTTTAATACGTGATTTTTTTCTAACACTTCAGTTTAATATGTGATTTTTTTTCCAACACGTCAGTTTAATACGTGATTTTCTTCTAACGTGTCAGTTTGATACGTGATCTTTTTCTAACACTTCAGTTTAATACGTGATTTTTTCTAACACGTCATTTTTAGCACATCATTTAATACGTCATTTTTTTTTTTGAGCCAGAAATGAAAATTATCGGTATGTATGAATTTAGCGAAAAATGAAAAGTTGTGTAAAGAGATGTCACACTTGAAATGTCACACTAAGAATGAAAATGACTTCACAGATGAAATAAACTTACAAATGAGTAATCAGATGTTGGCATTAATTATAAAATGTATACATAATTACTGAACTGGCACTTTTAACTTTTTTCACTTCATTATGTAATTAGTCTAATTGTATGTTTAGTTTGGCTCATTTATTTTTCGTTAATATTCAAATTTTATAGAATGATTAGAATTAATTGATTTTAGTTAGGTCAAAATATTCATATCAACAAAAATGGATAACCATTAATATTATGAGTGATGCGAAAATTATGAAATTTTGGTAAATTAAGAATTTCATTCTACTTAAAAGATTAATGCTAATTTTTTAAATTTGAATTAAAATTTTATTAATTTGATTGCAAAGGAATATTTTTTGTTGGCGCATACCTGCTATATGTTAATTTTTAGAAATTAAAGACAATTTCTGGATTTCACTTTACGATATTATAATGATATTAAGTATGAAAGTATTACCTGTGATTGAATTTATCAAAAATGTGACTATTCTCAAGAAAATCCTTGTTCTTGAAAATAGCAAAAGAGAAAAATGTCATCGTTCATAATTTACATTCATATAGCATCGTAGAAATGACCCAGTAAAATCCAGTAATTATCATCAAATAACAACTGACCATCTCACAAAAGAGCGTTAATCACCTGACGACTTGCATAATCTCCTGAGTAAACTTCGGTCTTCTTTTCATATTGGTAGATAAGGATGGAAATGTATAAGTGTTATATGATAATAACCAACAGTAAAAAAAAAAAAAA